CCAGGACGAGGCTCGACCCAAGCACGGGGTGGGTGGGTGGGGGGGGCAGTGGAGAGGCACCACAGTGAGCCAGGGTGACAAGTTTGATCACGGAGAAGGGAGGGGACGGGTTTTGGGGGGTGGCTGCCGTCTCCCTCGGAGAGACGACAGGCGGCCGCCCGTGCAATGTCATCTTCTCCTCCCCAGCCCTTGGGAAATGTGCTGGGTGTTTGGGAGTGAAAAGGTGGTGGTTGGGGAGGGGGTAGACACAGTGCTGGAGGGAAGCACTGCTTTCTCCCGGGGGGGGGTTTCAACAGTTGCCACAGGGGGCTCCGTGTCCAGGTGTTACGGGCATCCCAGGGACGCAACCTTCTTTCCAAGGAAAGGTAGGCTGACACCCGGCACCTGACCCGAGGATTCCATGTGGGCATCCCTTACCCACCCCTGTGGGCATTTCCTGAGCACGAAATACCTGGACTCATGCTTGTCTGGGAGGTGGGTGTCATGCACGTGTGCCGGGACCCTCTTCTTTCCCCGGAGGAGATGGACACGCACGGTTGTAAACGCATTGGAAGATTTTTTTTGTGTGTCTTCACCTCGGGGGCCACACCCACCCGACGGAATTCCCGTATCCATGCACCCCACAGACGCAACACCCTCTTTTCCACGGCACAGTGTAGCCCTTTCCTTCTTTCTCAAATGCATGCGCGCACACATGCACGCACACACACACATTGTAGGAAGAATCCTTCCCGATTTGGACAAGGATGAAGCATTCTGTGTGGGAGGGCACCCATGCGCATGCCAGAAACAGAAAGACCGGGTGGGGGGGTTGGTTTGTTCCTGGGGCGGCTTTTGCAAAGATGAGTCTGTGAATGTGTGGAGTGTGGGTAAGTGGAACATGTGGGCAAGTTGTGCACGGGGCGGGAAGGGGTGACGCTGTGCCACATTTGCGCTCCAGAGGAGCATCTACAGGGCACGCACCAGGCAGCATGTACAGAAAGGGACTTAGGGAGGGGGGGACAGTGGGGTGGAGGGGAGACGCATGGAAAGAGCATTGTCTGGGAAGAGGACAGTGCGGTGCATAGGCAGGGGTGGGTATCTTTGTGCAGCACAGGGTGTCACAGAGGACGTATAAAGGGGGTAGCGTGGGTAAGACGTTCCGTGTGTTTTGATGACGAAGGGGCGTTTCTGTCTGCCTGATGCCTGCGACTGTGCCAGACCTTAATATCTGTCCAGACAGACTGCGCTCTGAGCGCAGTCCCCGAGCACGTATGCCGGAGCTGTTTCCCAGCGTGGGGTTTTGTTTTTTTAATCGAAGGCACGTCCAGAAGGTTGCTTTGGGATCCAGCCCAGTCTTGGACCGATGGAAGTTCAGTGTGTGCGCCTGTGTGTGTGTCTGTGCAGGAGTGCGTGAGGCGCATATGTTATGAGTCGGCTACAGAGCGATTGGGAGGCTCGCTTTGGGGACACCTGACATTACGGTACAGGTTGCATACGAGGAAGGAAAGGACATTGCCGGTGAGCCCTCGTTTTGGAAACACGTTTATGTCTGTGTCTAACCCCATGATGTTGCAGAACTGTTCACGGTGTCTCTCTTGGTTCAGCTCCCTGACGGGTCCCGCCCAGCGACAGTAAGAAGACAGCGGCCAGGTGAGTGGGGGGGGGGGGGGTTGGGAACCCGCCTTTCTGCTTGGGGTGCGGTGCGCCAGCTCTCCCGCTGGACCTCTCACAGATTCAGAGGATAACCCTGCCCCACGCAGCACCTCTCCCTGTGGTTCCTACCTCAGGTTTCTGTCACCTCTGGCCGTCCTGTGGCTAACCGAGGGGACATTTCACACGGTTGCTCCGTTCTGGCGGAGCAACCCTTCAGCTTGTGGGTCGGCCACCCTATCTTCCGTAAGCAAAGATGGTTGCCGTTCCAGAAGGCGGCGGCCACTTTCCCCTTCAGCTTGTGGGTCGGCCACCCTGTCTTCTGTAAGCAAAGATGGTTGCCGTTCCAGAAGGATATAGACTAGAACCATACTGCGGTTTCTCCGTCCCATGACAGGCAGACGCATCTGACAGCCTGCCACCAGAAGGGACCCGTTTTGGGTTTAAGAATGGCCACGGGCGCCATGTTTGTAGGGACCTGGCTGTGAGAGGGTGGACGGTGGCCTTTGTGGGATCCAGGCTAGGAAACAGCAGTCTTCTCCCATAAGAGATGGATTGTATCATGGCCTCAAATCTCCCTGGGTCTAGGGTTGCCATCTTTGGAGGAATCCCTGGAGATTTGATTGCGGTTCCTGTGGAGAGAGGAGTCCGGGGTAGGATTTCACCTAGAATCTGTGGTATACCATAGAAGCCTCCCCTCCAAAGCTGCCATTTCCTTCAGGGGAAGTGATCTCTGTAGTCCGGAGACAAATTTAATTCCAGGAGAACTCCAGAGCCTGCCTGGAGGCTGGCAACCCTACCTGGGCCTCAGCCCATTTTGTCAACTTGACGTTGAATCAGAGCGAGGAACCCTCGCCCCCCTCAGACACCGAAATCCTCTCTGCCATTCACAAAGCGGGTGGGGTGGAGACAGAGTCTGTACCCTCTGGCATATGCTAGAACCTTCCAGAAATGTAGGCCCGTCCTTTATCCATCAGGCGAGGAGCCTCTCTAGAACCACAGCGGGTCAAAGGCCAGTGCTGCAGAGGTGCCAGCAACCTGGCAATGCGGGCTGCTCCCTGATAAGCGGTCTTATCCAAATATTTCTTCTGAAACGGGCCTTTTGCTCCTCATCCTCTCCGGCCTTGGCACCAGCCCGCCTTCGCCAGATGTCTCAGCGAGTATTTTGTTTGTTCAAACGGCGATCAAACCCTCGTTCTTAAAAAAAGAAAACTTTCTAGCCATGGTTTACCTCAGAACTTCCAGATATAGTTCCTTTAATTAAATGGCTTTCAGTCGCCTGGATTTTAAACCTGTTTCATAATCTTTTCTTGTATCTTTTTGAACCGTTTTCACACACACACCCCACCCCCGTTTTATAATTTGTTCCCATTTAGGATGCCGCCCCGATGCCGTCTTGCTGACTCTGGGCCATAATCTTTTTGAGTTCATCTAACTGGTTGGCTCCCCTCGCCCCCCACCCTGGGTCGCCATTATGTTCTCCTTGGAGGTGAACTTGTAGTTATGTGGCCACCGCTTTCCCTGAGAGCCAGTGAGGACATTTCTCTTCCCAGGTTCTCTTTTTAAAGCTGTTGCCTGTAAACTTTTACATCCGAACTTGCAGGAAGGGCCATCCTTATTCTTTTTTTAATCGTTTTTTAAAGCAGCGGTTGATACTTTCATTCGGATCGGTTCAAACATCCCGACATGAGAAGCGAGCTTTGGAGTTCCCCCAGAATTCTTCTTCATATTGAACGTCTAGCACAAAGCCAACATTTGCGGTGTTCACAGGAAAGGGAAAAGGGAAAGCCTCAAAGATCTCTTATTCCCTCCCCATCACTTGGGCGTGTGCTTTACCCAGTGACTGGCCTGAAGAAGAATTCCGTGGAATTTGAAAACTTGCCCATTTCTTTGTATAGCTCATAAACTATTTTTGCCCTGTAGTTAGGTTTGGATTTGTTTGTATTTTTTTTTTGATGCACCCAAGTGGAGCACCTAACAGGAGACAGAGTGCGCTAGCCACTGCAGAAAGCAGGGATAGATGGGTATTTGGGAGAAATGTTTGCTTTATTTGCTTAATGCCCGCCTTTCCATTACATTAACCTCTATTGTGGTTTACGTACAGTAACCCCCCAAAATCAACTAAAACTTCATTCTGATGCTGGTCAAAAGAAGAGCGCCAAAAGATAAAGCACTAACCTCAGCTGTCCATTAAAAGCCTCCCAAAAGCCTTGGGGGGAAAAGAATATAAAGAAGATGGCACGTGAAGACAGGCAAGGGAGGTTTTTCTGCATGTCGAGGGGGGGCCACAACAAAGAAAGCCCTGTCTCCCTGGAAGCCCCTCACATAACCTGCAAAGGTGTGGACCTCCAGAACAGGGTCTCTTCTGCTAAGTTAAGCCTCATCGGAGAAAGTGATTGGGCAGGAGACTTGTGGATCTGGTTGCTAGAGGATAGCGCAGAGAAATGGGAGGCTTGGGGCTGAGACTGATCTAGGGAGGGTGAGCAGGGGTCACAACAGAATGGAGAGATTGGCGAGAAAGGGGAGATGTCCCAAAAGGCCTCCCCCAAGGAGAGATGACCAGCTACCAGCCCGCCCGTAGGTTGCCTTCTCCGACCCTAGAGAACCCCTTCCTCCTTCCCCCCCCCCGGGGGGGGCACCTGCAGATAATCAGGGAAGCACTCTGCGCATGCTCAAGAGCCTTACTTTCTGTGAACACACCGCAGGGCTTGGCCACTCGGCTTGGAAGGAGGCCTAGCCCTCGTAAGCTGGACCTCAGCTCGGAACGAGATAACAGTTTTATATCCTGAAGCGGCTTCACGGGTGAGTTAGAGGGCCTGTACGTTGATGAAGTTTGACTCTGCAGAAGTTTTGGGGTGTTGCCGGAACTTCCCCAGAAGTGCCACTCTGCTTTGGGAAGGTGACCAGGAGTGGAGGGGGGAGCAAATTTGGGGGGGGGGTTTACATACTGAGGGCGACCGGCCCCGAGAGGCACATGGCTTGAAGACTTGCTTCCGGTTTTTATTCCTGTCATGCTATTACAGTGTGCTTTTTCTGCCCCATTTCTCCCCCACACCCATTACAGTGTGCTTTTTCTGCCCCATTTCTCCCCCACCCCACCCCACCTCGTTCCCTCTTCCTCCCTTCCCTACCTGGCCCCCCTCCCCCCCACGATTTTCTCTCTGCCTTCTTGCTTCCTGGCCCCCTCTCTGTCCCTGAGACCCTTAACCTGTGAGGAAGCCCGAAGGTCACAGGTGAGGTTCTTGGGAACCGAGTGGACGGCCCGTCCCCTCCAACTCGAAATCACACCTCCCCGTGTCTCCGGTTGCATCCGACCTCCGAGCTGGAGGCCACAAAAGGATTTCACTGACCAAACTGCAGCTACATCTCTCTCTCTCTTTCTTTCTGAACTGGTATTGATTTCAAGAACGGCAAAGTTGGGGAAGACGGCTACGGGAGGGGAAGGAGGTTCCTTCTCAGGCAGGGGGGGAGTCGTCCCCCCCCACTTGTAAGCCCCCCACCTGTAGGGGTGTGTGCGTGTGCATTAAGTGCGGTCAAGCCACTTCCGATTTATGGCGACCCTGTGAATTAATGTCCTCCGAAACATCCTATCGAGAACAGCCTCGCTCCGGTCTTGCCAAATGAGGACCTTTGCGGCTTCCTCAGTGTAGTCAGTCCATCTCACGTTGGGTCTTCCCAGGGGTCATTTCGTAGAAA